CCAGAACTTAATATTGATATCAAGGGTGGAATAAGTACATGAATAATTATTATAGGCCAGCCCCAACCAGATAGCCAAGATTCTATGACTCGGTGTTGGTTCCTATATCCCACATTAGTGGCTATGGCAATTAGACCGCAATGTAATATATAAATATACTTTGTATTGGATCCCACCATGTAGCCATAGAGTGATGCAATCCGAACCACTGAAATTACAAAAAGAAAGGAAGCAATACTGAAGTGGACAAACTTTCTCTTCCATCTGAACAAGACCGAAAGACATCATCCCATGGTCGGAATGACGGGATCAAACGTCTCACTCAACCAAAGAAACAGAACTCATCCAGTCTGGAATTATTAACATTCATCCTTACTCTCCAACCATGTGGGCAAGGTGCATTCCACTTTCCTCCGGAATTATGGAAAGGACATGGAACATTGTGTTCCACCAAGGACATAGAATGGAACTACTTTGCATTCAGAATTATGAGGTGATAGTGGACCTCCATCCATGAACGATATACAATCAGACACTGTTCATAAGAAGGGCCATACACACCCCAACTGAATAGTGCAGAATCAAATCTGAACCCGTATTACGAGTAGGCTCCCGTGGAGGCTGGTGCCACTCCTACTGAGATCTGGGAAATACATCAAAGGACCCAGATAGGAGGGCCCAAAATTTTGACCTCTTCTCAAAGAGTGGAGGAATGTACTCTACCACTCTGGAGGAAAAACCTCTGTCCACCACCCCAGTGACTGGAAATTAGGTGTCGTATTGACTCCCTCACTCCACTAGTAGAATCTGGGGGTGGGGTGTGTGTAATGTGCATTGGTAAGTCCTGAGGAACAGTACTCTGGAAACAGTGCAATAGGTGAACCAAGTTCCCTAAATTTTCAAAAGCAAACCAATCTCAATTTATTGAATCTGATAATCAGCAGGGATGGGCAGGATCCCCTTTAGCTTTACTCATGATAGTCCATGAGAATATGAAAATACCATCCGGAAAGGTCTCTGGAACTCCAGCAAACAACAAGGGACGAACAAAAGGGACCTCCATTAATTCCCAGAGGACAACAGATGGTAGATGAACACCCTCCAACAAAGCACCTCTACCCAATAAGTCCCAACAACAAACATGCCTAGAAAGTAAGAAAAGAACTAAAGCCAACAATCTGACCATAGTAGCCATCAGCAAAGGTCCCAACTCATCCTCAAACTGGTGATGAGAACATTGATAGGCTTCTGACAAAAGCTGGAACCCAACATGTCCAAAAGGGGATCCAGTTGTTGAGAATCTAAGTATACCTCTTTCTGACAGAGATAAGCCAAGTCATGCTGTTCTGATAAATGTGGGGGACAAGGCATAGCTATCCCGTCACATAACTGATTGGCAAATATCTCAGGATAAACAGCATTATCTGGAGAAGGAGGAAGAACTAAGTAATCACTTGCTGTCCTTTCCGCCAACAAGGAAAGAACAAACTCAAAAGCAATCGGGGATACCCCCAAAACTTCACAAACTCAATTAACCAACAGAAGAAAAGCTGCAGGAGGTCCTCCGTCGAAGCTGACCTGGTAAATGAAGGAGCCAGAAAAAGGGAGTATAACTTCTCCCCAGCATGTCCAGGATAATTTGCAAAAGCCAATTCGGGACCCCTGGTCCGCATATATGTCTCCGTCTCACATTGGATCATATCATGGACAGCCTCAACTGAGAGTGACCCCTCCCCCGACTGTTGACAAACACAAGATAAGAGAGATGGAATAGGGGAGGTCTGGTTAGCATCCATGGTGGAAACATTAACTTGAGAATTCATGTCCGTGACACGGCAAATTTTTTTCAATGTAATTAATGAAATTTTCACTAAAGAAAACAGAAACTGATGATTAAAGTTGCAACTGAAAATGTTAATAATCACAATGCTCTCATATAGAAACCCATGCTAAATGCTTTATTGAGAAAAAGTGATTACACTATCTGAATGGAGTGCTTGCATATAATACCTGGATAAAAGGCATACTGATGTTGGTGGAGAGCTTTGCAAATTAGATATTGCTAAGGGCATTCAAGTGAAGTATTATAAAACTGGAGCAAGCGAGTTCAATGCTTAGATGGGCAAAAAGGTAGAAACCTAGAAGATTGAGAAATAGCTAAAGTGGCAGTAGATGATAAGTACATGTTGGAATTACTAATCTTAACAGGTAAATGCTCAATATTCACTTTCTGTATCACGTGATACTTTTTCAATACAAACTGCTAATTTCTACATTTTCTGATACACCTTTTTTTTTGGGCTTGTAACTTTCCATGGAATTTCCAACTTAAACTGTCAACTGGGGGATATGTAAGTTTTTGCTTTGTGGAGATAATAAAGGCAATAAAGTGAAGGTCACATGTCATGACTCCACAAAGCATCATGCTTTCAAAAATCATTATAAATTCACTCTGCCATTTGCTATTGTATTATTTGTAATCACTAAAAGCAAAGATTTCACTTAATTGATAGCTATGGAGTAAAAAGGTCTTGGACTAAGAATTGAAAATTTTGACATCATTTTCTTTGTATTTTAATATTAAAACTCTGCTTGAAGAGGTATGGGAGTTGTTCTGAGCCATTTCTACCTTAGTTAAAAAGCCAACCCGTATTGATAGAGTTAATGATTCTCAACAAGAAGGCTGTAAAACATCAATCTGGATCATTATTATTGGTTGTTTGTGTTTTGTGACGGTGGGTTCACAAAGTGAAGTGACCAATGTCCAATTAAGGTTAAGCCTTTCGCAACGGGAGCCCCTTTAAATATTTCTCTCTGCAAGTCACTGTGTTATATTCTAAATCTAATTAAACACCTTTAATTCTCTCAACACAGGCTCAGTCAATATGACCGACCATGTGACCTCTTTGTACTCGTTTAACCCTTTCTATACGGGTCACAGGTGAAAGTCCATGTCATCTTGTTTGTTGACTCACATTCGAAATTTTGTTCAACTACTATTTCTTGAACTTATGCCAATAAGTTTGGTATCAAACTGTAGATTATAACTCAAATTTTAGAACTATACATTACTCAATTTGTTAATTTAAACGTAAATATTAAAAAACATAAATTCAGATTTTTGTGTGTCACGTGGTATGTTGAATGCAGCACTGGTTCAAATTAATGTTTGTGAATTCAAAATACTAAGTCTATAGTTTCATACGAATTAGAATCTCAAATTACAGATATTGACAAGCTAGAATATAAAATGAGAAGTTCTTATCTTTTCTAATTGCTTATAAACACTTAATTCTATATATGACATGAATAATCAAGCAGAAGCACAGAATATCCCCTGGTGGTTTTCTAAGCCTTTCTAACATACCTAGCATAATTTCTTTCTTTTAAATCAAGATTTCAATGAGGTAGGTTGTGTCTTTAGTCTGCTCAAAATTTCATATTTCTTCAGACTAAAATACATCTTAGTCACTAAGCTTGATATATTATAGTTGAACTCTATGGTATCAATGTAGTAATTTATGATTTTTTAGTTATTCAAATGTATATACATATATATATAAAACCTAAAAAAAATATGTTGTTTTATATCCTCCACGTACAAAATTTTTAAAGGTTTAGCAGCCTACATCAAGCAGCAACTGAGTACAAACATCGTAACTAGAATAAATAATTGTTTGCTTTACTTCTTTAGTTACTATTCTATGTTTTAGAAAAAAGAACTTTAAGAACTTATTTCAAAATAGTAATAATCTATATACATATGTAATGGATAATAATTGAAATGTGACTATATTTTACAAAATACTAGTCTACTAAAACACAACCAAGACAAGTTACTTTGTACAGACCAAAGGTCACTTTCATGTTATTTGATACGGTAACATGAGTGTACGTGTGCCA